CGCTCGATTCGTTGCGGACGAGAGCGAGAGAGAAGGACAAAAACAAAAGCTGCCACGACGACGACGTCGGATACTTCAATTTTGTCCCGTTTATTTTTATTTCGTTACAAAAAAAAGGTATTGCGCAGTGCACATGCCGCCGAGCGTCCGTCCGTCCGTTCGTTGTACTACGTACGTGTTTATTGCCGAGCGCACCGTAATACAGATATATAGCGCGAGTTTTACGATGCATTTGCTGCGTGCTGTGTGCTGTGTGCTGTGTGTGTGCATGCGGAGCGAGAGTGAAAGCTCGCACGCGAACTTCGTCATAACGATAGAGAGAGAGAGAGAGAGAGAGTTGACGAATCTCTCGTTGCGCAACATCTGCCGTGATAACGCGCGCGCTGCTCTCTGCTTCGTGAAATTTTATCACCGACGACGAGCCGCAACGAGAGCTATTTATGCGATAAATAATATGCGCGCGCACGATGAAATCGTTATTATTTTTGACGTCCGATGCCGACTCCTCTGGTAATGAAAAAATTAAAAAGGAAAAAATATTGCACATAAATAGATAAGGAAAATCGATCTGTACATGATTGTTTTTGCGCTTGCGGTGAAAGCTCGCTTACTTTCATACGCATACGTGTAGTACATGTATAACGCAAGGTGCGGCGGGCGAGCTGTACGATAATCAAACGCCCATATTATTATACCACTACTGTAGCGATAGGCCATGTTACGCGTGTACGAGTTGAAAGAGAGAGAAAAAAAAACAACGAATAGCTTGGAATAGAAAAAGAGAGAGATAGAGAGGAAAGGAGCGAGAGACGACGTTTCATCTGTCCGCGATTATCATCATTCACGCTACACGTCCCTTCGGGGCCAGTGGGTGCAGCTACAGCAGCAGCAGCAGCAGCATAGGAGTGCAGTGCAGGCAGGTGGAGTAGTAGTAGAAGTAGTAGTAGGTAGCTGCTAGTGCACTGCTGCGGCATTACTGGTAATAGTAAAAGCTTTTCTGTCCTCCCTTCTCCGTCGAACCCCCCTCAGGGCTTGTGGAGTGGAATCGCGGAAAAGACCCGACGACGTTTTGTGTACGTAATACGCCTCTTTTCTCCCGCAATCATCCGTTCCTTTTTTTGTCCTGTCCTTTCCCTTCTTCTTTCTTTTCTTTTTTTTTTCTCTTCTTTTTGTCGAGAGACCCGCTGCCAGTCACGAGAGCCGACCGCATATACGGCAGCCGTGTAGCGTATGCACGTTCGTACGTGTATGCATGTACGCACGCGTAGAGCAGTAGCTCATCTCTCTGTACTTTATGCGCAACGAGAGTCGTTGATAGAGGCATCATGTGCACCAGTGGCGTCGCCGACTCGCGTCTTTCTTTCGAGAAGAGTTGCGCGATACAGTAGCAACTTGTAAAAGTGTCTATTTTAATTGTAATATATTTAAATATCGGACGATGGCGAATGTTCGAGAAATTATACATTCAGGGAAATGTATAGTCGGGGAAATGCCATCGAGAAATGCGACTTCGGGGAATTTTTCATTCGGGATAATGGTGTTCGGGGAAATAGATTTGGGAAAATGGGTGGTTATACAAATTAATTACTATAATAGTACAATGTATAGTGTTTAGTGATAAAGAAAAAAAACTAAAATTAGAATTCAAACAAATCGATAATTACAAATTATTTTCTTCAATTTATTCATATAAATGATATGTTAAATCTGCACAATTTACTAACACAAGACATGAAAGGTATACTGGAAATAATATTTATCGCCTTCACGAGTTTTGGCCTGTAGCCGCCAAGCAAATATTGTATAAATCTTCGTTATTTAAATTGTCTATTATCTTTTCGCAGCAGAGAATCGGCAGCCTTTCGTGTATCAACTCATAGAAACAATCCAGTGCCCAGTCCCGGAAAAATCTCCTCGAAATTTTCTCGCATATATGATAAAAAAAAGACTCTACGTAGATACTGTGCGACAATATGTTCGAGCGCCACCAACTGTATTTGTCCGAATGTAAGATTAGTTTAGCCGCCTCTTCGGATCGTAACTCGAGCAGGCGTTTGAACGACTTTCTCGAACCAAATTTCACAAACGGAGTTCCGTCAATATTCACAAACTTCCTGAACGATTCTCGTTTGGTAAAAAATTTCATAACTGTCAGCGCGTCGCTTCTGTCCAGTTCGTATCCCCTTTTCTCAAGACTATCGACAACGGCGAGTGCTTCGTGCGTTAGTTTTAACATAAAACTGAACGTATTTTCACCGCACTTATCGCGCTGCCTTTTCATTACCTCGCCAAAGTAACTCCCGGAGGGAAAAACGAAGCTAGATATATCAGCCCCGTGATCCAAGAGTAAATTGACCATACCGGGCAAAAGATTCGCCACGGCTAGTTGAAGCGGAGTCCGGCCCAACTTGTCCACGGCGTCGACCAGCACCGGCTGATTGGCTTTAAAAAGTATCTCCAACAAGTCGTCTTCGCCATGATAATCTCTCTGGCAAATAATATGCAGAGGCGTCAATCCCTTCGCATTGGCTGAATTCGGGTCTGCTCCCATTCTCAGCAACGATTCGATTGTCGCCTTCTTACGGTAGGAGAGTGCCACATGTAATGGTGTGTTACCTTCATTGTCCTTGGCGTCGATCTGCAACGTCTGATGTTTTTCTTCGTTGACTTTGAAAAAAAACTCCAGCAAGTTATCACCGGGTTGTCTCTGGCACATGATGTGCAGAGGAGTCGATCCACCCTCGTTGGTCGCATTCGGGCAAGCCCCGCGTCTCAACAGGAATTCGATCAACTTTTTGTCGTCGCTAAAGTGACATAACAAGAGCAGTGGTGTGAGGCCCTTGTTTGTCCGGGCATCGACCTGCACCGGCTGATGTTTCTCGTCGCCAATCTCGAATAACAACTTCGCCAAGTCAACACCATTGTATCGATCACAAATAATGTGAAGAGGAGTCCATCTCTCAGAGTTGGCTAAATTTGGACTGGCGCCTCTTCTCAGCAGCAATTCGGCCACCTCGTCGTGTCCGTCCTGCAGAGCCAAGTGTAGCGGCGAATCGCCTGTTTTTGATACAAGGTAATTGGGGTCCTGCCCATCTTCGAGAAATTGCTGAACAATTTTCGTAAGCCCTAACGTGCAGGCCACATGAAAATGTGTAATACCTAATTCGCTGGTATAATTTTGCTTATCGTATATTTTAAAAATATCACTGACCGCCGTGGCCGTGTGAGAGAATCGGCTTCTATAGAAACGATGTATTGGCGTGGTGTGATGCAACAGTGGCTTGCCGTCCACATCAATTTTGGGATCGTCTTTGTAGCCACACAGAGCCACGAACTCGATGAATCGTATTCCTTGATTACTTATAAACAACGGGTGGTAAGGAATTTCAACAATGGAATCAAAAATAAGACGCTCAATTTGTTCCACCGGAAAAATGTCTCGGAGATTCGGAAGAGGATCCTTCCAATCTTTTATTAAAGGTTCGAGTTGATCGAGAAATTTGAGTCGTTCTATATCCATCTCCCAATTGACATTTTCCAGCAAAATTTTTAATTTTGACAAGCATTCCATGTTGCAGGCTACCGCGACACTCGCGCGATCACACAGAGACACAGTAAATTATTGTTCAAGATATTAACTTTTTCCACAAGAATCACTTCCACTGACGATGCGTGTTTTGTCTCCTTACACTCTGGCGTTGCGGCGTGTACTGACTAGCGCTCTACGTTGGACTGATGTAGCGTCGTGAAATGAAGAGTCGTGAAATTACACATAGCTGCCACGAGTCGCGACTCTGCTATGAACAGCTGGTCATACTGTGTTATGTATGATATATGAATACGTGTCATCGATGCTGCGTGAATAACGTCCCGTGGGGCCGCAAAGCAGCCACATGAAATTTAACCTTGATTTTTTACTTAATTTCTATATGTGAGCCGACTACGGTGTGAAATCATTAGCATATCTTGGTACCAGCATACTTAAGTTCAGTCGTACTAGTCAGTTCATTCAGTTTTGAGTTTATGAATGTAATTATAGACAGACGTTTCAGATTTCCGAACAGAAGCCTATAATTAATTTTTTTTCAAAATTACTTTGAACTTGTGAAAATTCGAATTCAATACATTCAAAAACATTTCATCATGATTTTTGATAAATGTCTTTGCCTCGCAATTGTTTTTTCATGATAGTTCGTTATTATTTTTTTAAATAAAGTTAAAGTCATGAAAACTATTATTTCGAGATACTCTTAATTGGCTTGTCAGCTATATCAGTCGAGCGATGATGAATCGTATCCAACTTTCGTTCCACGCAGCAATTCGTTGAGATTATTTCGGACGATCCATAAATATGTGGAGCAACGCGACTGATGCATAAAGCCCCCGCGCGCGCGCGTCTCGCGCTTAAAATTGAAATCCTCGAAATTGCACATGGCAAGCGTGTATCATATACACGGAGAACGAGCGCGAAAAAATAGCTCATTTCGTATACGTGTGTAATGCACAAATATACGCGACGCGTCGCTCGTGTATAGCCAGGATAAATGAATCATCTCGATGCAAAGCTATTCAAATTTATGTAAACGCTTGTTTTTTCAACCTAAAACCTTGTCCCGCGCGCGCAGAGTGCCCCGAGAGTGGAGTTTAGTCGTTTAATGCGCAGCCGAGCGTCTTTTTAACTGCTATCATCGCCTTTGCCTGCCCCCACCACCACCACCACTCTCGGGCGCTGGTTCTCACTCTGCCTCGCTGCAGACTGATGATCTCTTTTTTATGCATTAGCGAAGTTGAAAAAAAAGAGAGAGACGATGAATGTATATAATGCTTACGAAAACAAAGTAGCCTTCCTATTTCGGGTTATGGACTCGCGAGAACACATTATTATATGTTGCTCGTATTCGGGAGAAGAATTGAAAAATCGTTGGAGCAAAAAAGGCATGTTGTATAGAAGTAAATGTGTATAAAAAAAAAGAGACAGAGAGCGAGAATTAATAACTCACCATGCTGATGCGGCGCTGAAAAAGCCGAGTGTCGCCTCGGTGACATGTTCGGATGCTGGCCCTGCGCACCTGGCGGCTGCATCGACGAGAGCGCGCCAAGCGGAGTGTAGGACTTGCACGGCTGCTCCTTCTAAGCCGATTATGAAAAACAAAAACAACAACAATGACAGCGACCGGAAATTAGGGCGCGATTCGCTCTCGCGTTTTCGCGCGCGAATGTCGTTATGTTTGTTTCATTAATGGGAACTAGAAAACGCTTTTAGGAACCAGCAGGGCTCTCCATCAAATTTTCAGACAGCGTAAAAACGCGATATGTATTTAATTGAATTATTTTTGTAAATAAAATTCATCGCGGACGATCTATTAATTGTCAAGTGGTATCGGTCGAACATTAACCAAGTTATCGAATGAATATTTTTCAAAATTTGTGAAGGCTTTTTCTTATGAAAATTAAGCAAATAAAAAAAAACGATATCAATCAATTCATTCGTACATTTGCTTTTTAAAAAAACTTCATCGGTATAAATTTCATCGTTAATGCGCTAATCAGCTGCGTCTGAGTGTAAAACGAGTTCTATCTGCTCGATATACTTGCTCGAGAGAGAAGAATGTCGATTAATTAAGCGTATACGCGAGGCGTTGATCCGATTGTTCTCATCGGTTTTCCCAAATCAAGCGAAAATCAAATTACACACGAACCTGATCGTGAAGCTCGGTGGCCACGGCCGTAGTCTGCGTGTGATTGGTCGAGCTGATTCTGTACTGCATGCCGGCGATACTGCAGAATCCCTCGTGGTGCGTCGATCTCGTTTGATTGACATAGACACCTTTTTAAGGGGTGCAAATAGAAAACATAATCAATGAAAAGTTCATTACAGCGGCGGTGGGGTGCCGCACAGGGAGAGAGAGAGAGAGAGAGAGCTTCGTGTGACGTGTAATTCAAGCTTGAAGTTAACGTCGCATTAAAAATAAGCGGCGACGAGAGAACGTCGAGAGCGTTTGAGCTCTCAATGTAATCCAGATGGACTTATCGACCGACCGCTTTGGACGGACGTGAACACGTATATCGATCGACTCCACGAAGTTCGACACGTGCGATTGTCAAAATAAAGCTCTCTCTATCTCTCTATTGACTATAGTTTAGGCGATGCTTACCGGTAATAGTGACGTCGGTGTCCTGATTGACGATCACGACCTTCTTGGAGGGCTTGACGAGGTCCTCGACGTCGCTGCTGCCACCGCCGCCGGCGCTCGGCTTCTGCTTCTTGTTGCGCTCGACCTCGGAGTCGCTCTGGCGCTTGCGCTTGACGAACTCGCAGTCGGACTCGCCGCCGCTAGTCGACGATTCGCTGGTCGAGCCGCATATCTTGTGCTTGTGCTCGTCCGAGTAGGACGCGGCTAATATCGCCGACGCGTTCAGGCTGGCCATGCGCTTGCACACGACCATGTCCTTCAAGTCCATGACTTCGGCTTTTTGCTTGCGACGCGACTTGCTGGACGACGACTGTTTCGATTTGCGCGACGAGTTGGCAACTCTTCTGCCTCTGTTGTCCTCCTCTTCGGACTCGGACTCGGCGTCGTTGTCGTCGTCCTCCTCGCTCTTCTTTTCCTGCTTGGCTTGGCGTCGCTGCTGCTCCTCCTCGGCCTTGGCGAGCTTGCGCTCGCGGGCTCTCTCCCTGTCGCGCCTCTTGCGCTCTCTCTCGCGCTCGCGACGCTGACGCTCGATCTCGTCCTCCGACGAGGATGAAGCGCCGTCGTAGGCGTCGTAATTTTTGCCCCGAGAATTCGAGGAGGATGCGTGGCGCGGCGTTTTTCTCTTGGAAGCAGCCGCCTCGCTCGCCGCCGACGACTTTTTATTATCCTTCTTCGTCGGCGGCTCCTTCTCCTTGCTCTCTTTCAAATCTTTCGTTTCCTTCGCGTCCTTCGCGTCCTTGGTTTCCTTGGCTTCCTTGGCGTCCTCGCTCTCCTCCTTGCACTTTTTCGCGGACTTTGAATCCTTCGAGTCTTTTGCGTCCTTTTTGCCGTCTTCCTTGTTGGCGTCCTTCTCGGGCTTGGGCTTGCAGAAGCCGCCGAGGTAGACGCCGCCGTTCTCGTTCTCGTAGAGGCAGTGCACCTTGGCCAGGGCGTTGAGCGAGGCGACCCTGTGCCGCTTGGGCCCGGTCCAGAAGCCGAAGAGCTTCATGCGATTGGTCACGACGCGCTCCTCCGAGGGGGTGCGCTCGCGCTTCCTCGACGCCGCGTTGTTGCTGCTACTGGTGCTGGCGGCGTTGGTGGTGGCTCGGCTGCTGCGCCTACGACTGGTCGAGTAGTCCTCGTCGTTCTCGTCGTCGTCCTCGGGACTGTCGTCCGACGAGCCGCGCGCAGTACTGTTGTTATCGGCGCCGTTCGACGCAGCCTCGACCTTCGGCTTGACTTTGACGTCGGGCTCGTCCGATTTCGCGGCTTCCGCCTCGATTTCCTGCTGCTGCTGCTGGTGTTGTTGCTGTTGTTGTTGCTGTTGCTGTTGCAGTTGCTTCTTGGTCGGCTTCTTGGGCGCTTTCTTGGCAGTGGCGGATTTTGATTTAGCCGGTGGCGTGGATGTCTTGTTGTTGACCACTCGCTCGATGCTCTCGTCGATGATCTCCTTCTTGATGCTGTCGGCGAGAACCGATCCGTTTTCCTCTTTGGAAGATGGCTTTTTGGCCTCGGCAGCAGCTGCATTCGCGGCCCCGGCGTTGCTCTCGGATTTCTTCTTCGAGCTACTAGTCTTCTCCTTCTCGACGCAGCCGTTCTGTTTCGCGGCCGCGAGGGCCGCCTGTTTCTCTTGCTGCTCCCTCTTGGCCTGAGCTTGGGCCTCTTTCTTGGCCAACTTCAGCGGCATTTTTGGCGGTGGCTTGGTAGCGGCCGCCTTGTCTTTGGCGCCATCCTCGGCCGGTTGTGGCTGCGCTTGCGGCTGCTGCTGAGGCGGCACGTAGGCTTTCTTGGGAGGTGCGCTGCTCTTGCTCTTGGAGGCCTGCGACGGCTTCTTCTTGTTAGCCGGCGGCTGCTTGCCCGTCTGGCTGTTGCTCGTCGCGTTGGCAGGTGCCGTCGTCGTCGCCCCATCTTCGTGATCTGGACTACGCTGAGCCTCGGCTGCGGCGGACTTGACTAGTTTGGCTTTCGACTGCTTCTTGGCCGCCTGAGCCAGCTGCTTCTTCGTGGCGGTAACCGTGGCCTTTTTCGGCGGCGAGCTTTTCTTCGGCGGCGTCGCTTTGGCTTTGCCCGAGCTCGTCGTCGCCGCAGCCGCCGCCGTGTCCTTCTTCGTTCTCGAGGGCGAGGACGAGGACGAGGAAGCTGTCACCGCCGTCTTGCGAGCTTGGCTGTTTTGCTGTAGCTCCTTGTCCTTGTCCGGGGACTTTTTGCGCTGGTGCGAGGCCTGCTGGTGCTGCTGTTGCGATTGATGGTGGTGGTGATTCGACTGCGTCTGCTTGGACTCATCCTTGCCGGAGCCACTCGAAGCGGTGGAACCGCCGCTACCGACGCTCGACTTGCTACTATTATCTTTATCTTTGGCAGTTGCTGCAATTTTCGGATTGTGTCCGAGCTCGAGGGCGGAGGACTTGGCGTGGGCGGCCTGCTTGGCGCCCTCGCGCTTCTTGTGCTCCTCCTTGAGCCGTTTCTTCACCGGCAACGAGGACATTCGACTGCTGCTGTTGCTGTTTTGCTCCTCCACAAATTTGTAATGGTCAATGACGACCGACACGTCGGTCACCGCGCCGTTCACGGACTTTTCACCGCCGACATCGTGAGCTGCAGCTCTGTTGCTCTGATGATCGAGCAGGCGCTTCTTCTTCGGCTCCGGGTAGATCTTCTTCTCGGGCGGCTGGTGCTGCTGCTCGCTGCTGTTGTCGGACTTTTTCGAGCGTTTGTCGGCGCCGGCCTTCTTCGACGCCGCGGCCGACGAGCTGCTGTTGCTACTGGCGCTGTTGCTATTGCTGGCTTGGCCACCGCCGATCTGGGGCGCCGCCGGAGTCGGTGAGGCCGCGGCCTCGTGCACCGTCGCTGCGAGCTTCTCCAGGGACGTGCGACGCTGCGACTGCTTCTTGCTGGAGGCGGCCGTGGCCAGGGCCGTAGCCACAGCGGCGGCCGCCTGCTTGGCAGCCCCGGTGGCGCTGGCCGCCTTGGCGGCCCGACCTCCGATCGCTGCCTTCTTCTGCGGCTTCATGGCGCGCGCACGCGAGCTAAGCAGCTGCAGCTGCGGGGGAGGCGGGTAGCGGGCAGGCGGAAGGGGTTGGCCGCGCTTCTCTCACATCTTCACTCTCTCACGCGCGCGCGGGAGGTCGCGAAGGGGGAGATCGGCGAGCTGAAGTTTTTTTCTTTTGGGCTTCGTTCGAAGTTGGATCGACTTCGGAGGAATTACCGCTGCTGCTCGACACTACCTCGGTACCATTTTACCGCGGAGAGAAGAAGTAGAGCTCGGTCGATGAATGATTCTGAAACAAAGAAACGAAAACAAAAGCGTTAAACAATCGTTCTTGACCTCGAGATTAAATTTACAAAATATGTTTAGTTTAAGCATATGTTTAATCGGGTGCATAATTCAAAGTAGCGATTCGCGATTCAGAATTAAAATTCTCAAGATACTCCAATTATCGTAGGCTCGGTTGAGGCGCAGATAAGATTATTTTGCAGGCTGCTGCCGCGATCTCAAACGAAGGCAATAAAAATTAAGCTATACAACATTGCTCAAGAGTTTTCTCGAACGTTTATTAGAATTCAAAGGCTACGCAAGCGATAAGATTATCTTGTTCATCCGCTCGACTGTACTACTACTGCTACCCCAAACGTGCGCAAAAGAAGTTTCCTTCTCAAAAAGCAGCTGCACGTATAAGCGAATTGCAACAAAAGTACGAAACAAGCGTAGGCGCGAGGATAATAAAGAGAGAGAGAGAGATTCGAGCGGGTACTCGTCTTTGCAGTATGCGCAGTACGCGCGCGGACGCACACCGTATACTATATGCGTTACAAAAGCTTCAAAGCCGGCAGTGCTGCTGCTGCACACTCGGTCATTACTTAAAAGCCGCGCGCGTATAGTGCTGTGTATAGTGTATAGTAGTGCTGCTGCACCGACGCGGGTAATTTCACGTTGTTCGCGCGATAAAAGCTGTACGCGTATTATTATACACACGTCCTTTTTCTTTGCCTTTTTTTTTTCTTCGAGGAACAGCAGACACACACATACATATCGGATATGTGTACGAGGCTCGTTGCGACTTTCTCTTGCGGCTTTGCCACTGAACAAACGCTATTACATATCGCATTTGTGTGTGTGTGTGAGTGTAAATGTGTCTATATCTGTCTGTCGCGGAGATTCCTGTTTTCACCGACTGCAAAAATCCTCGCAGCGATCGCGGCTCACTCACTCACTCACACATCCAGTTGTAGCGCACATTTTCGCAGTCGTTTACAGCACGTTCACTCGCACACATGCATTATGAGTGAATCGTGCGCGAACTCACACACACACGCACACACACATACATACTCATGCCGCATATAACCGGGGAAACGTAGCAAAAGACGCGGAGGAAGTTTTGCGGGCTCGAACGCACGGTATACATTACTCAATTAAATTATTATCTTTACGGAAAGACGATGTTGGTTTTTCTCACGAGTGAGCTAATGTAGCCTCGTACGCTAGGCTGCTGCTGCTGCTACTGCATAAAGCATAAAACATGAGACGCGCGTGCAGCTTTTCTAGATCGCATGCGAAATACTTGTATGCTGCACTCGCCGAGTCTGTTGCTCTCGCTATTGCGTCTGTATGTCGTATGAGTAGTACCATTGAAATCTTACATGGAATCGCATTTTTTATGCAACTGGACGAGACTCTTGGATACCTGAATATGAATTTTTTTCCGCGGTCCCCGGGGTTCAGGGCGAAGACGGTAAAGTAAGGTAGTTTTTGTCCGTGTACGTTGCAGACGAGGTAAAGTACGGGCGAAAAAAAGACCATTCAATTTGTGAGGAAATTTTACATCGACTAGCTAGCTCGTATATCTATATCATTTCAAAGTGTCGAAGAAAAATAACACAATACTGTTAATTAATGTGTACGCAAAGAATTTTAAAAGCTGTTCACAAAATATTTTTTTACTACTATTCAACAATATTTATAGAAATTAAGTTGCAACTCATTCGTAGGAATAAAAAAATTTTCGCGCGACATCTAGCGACACAATGTAAAAATTTACCATCACGATAATTTTACTAAAGATGAACGCAGCAATATACTTTTACCCCCTTCGGTGACTAAGTAGTGATAAACTAGCTAATTAATTAACAGTTACAAAAAATGCCGGTAATGTAAAGAACGAATTCAACTGACGAAAACTCAGAATCGATTATAGATAATATTTTACAAGAGGTGCAGAAAGAGAGAGAGAGAGAGAGAGAGATAAAAAAACTCTCGATATCCTACGGTATATAATTAATCTCGTTTCAGTTAAGTCAAAGTGGCGCGGTATACTATACACTCGCAGTGTATGCTAGACACAAAAGGTGGAGGAGGCGTAGTAAGTTAGTATAAGGTGCATCAGAGGCATAGAAGCCTCAAACAGCAGCATAAAGACAGGTGGATATAAGCTCGTTCTCAGATTTAATACATCGAAGGAGCTGCTGCTGCACATCGCGTGTAATTATCCAAGATCGCGAGTTTTAGCATAAAGTAGCTGTATACGCCGTTTGTGGATGTGTATGTGTATATGGTATGCATATACTCGAGTGGTGTAGACTGTATAGGCATACACACAAGCATTGCGGCGACGAGTAATGAGATTATACACCAACGTGCGCGCATAGTCGAAACAGATATTTCAAATATGCGCCATATTATATAGATATATATGTATTATACGCAGCTTGGGGAATCATAAATCTCAGATTTCAATATATATAGGGGGGATATAACTTAACGCGCGCGCGTGAGCACGGCTCGTTGCGATCGATTAAAATTTATCGTCCCGCTTCGATGGCCAAATCAATCGGAATAATCTGTTTCTTTTTCATCGTCCGCGCGCCGCGCCTGTCATCGATCGTCGGGCACGACGACTCGCGCGATGGATCAATTACTCGCGCTTGTCACAACAACAACAACGGCAAAAAAAAACGATGAAAAAAGAGGAGGAAAGAAAAACGCAACTTTCCTCAACGACTTTCGACGATATAATCATCCGCGTATAGGTATATACGTCGGCGGCAAGTATACGTGTATATATAGAGTTAAATCAGAGTGGCGGTGGCGTTTATATAGGTATATAATACGCGCCACCTTTTCGCCCAACTTTTGCCGAGAGCCGAAAAAGTAGAATGTCGCGCGCGCGCCAAGCAAGAACGAGCAAACTTTTGCGCGTAAGCATATATATTATATAAAATACGTGCGAACGAAAAAGAGAGAAAGAGCGAGTGCAGGGGTTGAAGCAGGGTGAAATGTACGAGTAAAAAAGCACAGTAGCCCGTACAAGAAGAAGAAGGAGAAAAAGCAAGACGATGAAATTCGTTTATGGGCGAGTACAGCCCCCTTATATAGTGCGCGTATAATAATGGTATATATGAATAATTTCTCTTTTACCGGGCAAACTCGCGTAATGAGTATTAGCGCACTTAGTCGCGCGCGAGCTACGTCGAAGGGCAGAAAAGGCCGTAGTCGGTCGTCGGCATGAGTCAAGGGATAGATATAGAAAGAGAGAAATTTTGCATACGCGTACAACAGAAGTAACAATATTTTAGGGCAGTTATACGTTGCAAGGAATAATTAAGGCATCATCTCGTAGTTCCTCGTATATAGTTGCATCGCCACGAATATACGCATTATCTCTTACGTATTATGAATTTATAAACTACGAGTCGAGTTATGCGGATAGAGGCCAGACTGCAGAGAGCGTGGAATGCGCGAGTTTATTCGGAGCGTCACATCCCTCCGTAGTGTGACAAATAATTTAATTCGGTCCGTTTCGAGGCTTCCTTCGTGATACATAGTATACACATTCGTAATATTTACAAGAGCACACGCGACTTCATTATTTAATCACATTGTCATATCATACTTTGGCGTGACGTCTGCGCGGTGCATCGTCGCCTACACACGCGCACACACTTACACGCACAAGCTTATACGAACGTAATTATGTGTGTTTAAGCTTCGCGATGATTCGTGTGCGACACTCTCTGTATGCTGCGCTTCGTTATGCGTTGTGTTTGTGTAACTGGACGCCTTTCGGATATATACACGACCCCGTGCGCGCGCATTAATATGCATTGTACATTACGCGCCGCATGCCGTCCGTGTGATATTTCGTCGTTTGTGTCCGCGTGACTTTATTCGGTTACAAACCATCTGTTTGGTGCAATGTTGTTTGCCGTGAAGTGCACGCACACGATTAGGAGCTGATTGCGGTATCTCATCGTTCTTGGCACCTTTGGTACACCATCGATGACATTCGATACTTTAATTTTGATTCGAATTACGAAAAATTACGACGATGAATTTTTCACCCGAGAAGATCAGTTTTAATGATGTTTTAAGAAATAATAGTGTATTATAGGATGAAAATTAATTGTGTAATATTAACTGTACCTTACGACATGCCACTAATAACAGTACATTATTCAACAACCGAAGTAGTCATTTTCAATATTAAGGGTCCTCTATACACACTCGGACGGTAACTATATTCGCGTATTTTGTACCCATTTTTTTCATTTAGTTTACAACCTATGGTCTTGAAATGTTTTGCGAGTGATCATGAAACTAATACAAATGTGCCTATGAAGCTATTTTTTCATATAAATATTGTAAAAAATTTTTTTTTCAATTATCTGAAAAAATAGCTTCATAGGCACATTTATATTAGTTTCATGATCACTCCCAAAAAATTTCAAGACCATAGGTTGTAAACTAAATGAAAAAAATGGGTACAAAATACGCGAATATAGTTACCGACCGAGTGTGTATGGAGGACCCTTAATAATGGTTCAATGATCAAAAAGTTACCATTTAAAGTCTTTTAAAATGCATTAACATTAAGAGGCTTGTTTTTTTTTAAGTTTTCTATTATAATTATGCTAAAAATGCGCGTTTCTAATGAATATAAAGCGACAATTCAATTGTTTCGAAAAATTAAACCAGTTTTTCAATCACTTCAAATATGTACTACTTTAAGTTCCAATCACTAGATGGCGAGTACCTATATATATGTGTAAATCTAAAACAGTTCAACACATTTTTTATTAGGATTTTGTACACAATGTACAACAATTAAAAATAACTGTGTGTTTAAGTGTGTTTAAATGAGAAGTGCGCGGAGCGGACCATCTTTTGTGGTCAGCGCGCACCATTTGGTGACTGGTGTCGCATCAGTCGCAGTTGCTTTTAATCTAATTTAGGTGAAAGTGTAGCCTAATTACAAGTAGCATTTAGTCTCTGTAGCATAGT